CTGCATCTCAATAACCCTACTTGGAGCTGAGACAATTGCTGCACCTATCTGTAGCTAGTTGTATACCAAGAATGATAGAATACAAGATTGCGCACATCCGAGAGGATTTTTGAGAATAATTTTTGTGTGACGTCACATTGGTGCATTTGCGAGAGAGAAATGCCAAAACGCCAGCAAGAGTGGAAGCAGAAGAAGAAATTTTGCAAGAAAAACGTGAAAAAGTTGCACAAGTATGCCAGCGATTCTGTCAAATTTATTAAGATCGGAATAGCGGTACCGAGATGGACGATACGTTTGTTCTCTTATACTTCTTTTTTTGAATTTTTAAGGTTTTCTACATATTTTCAAATTTCAAATCTACTAAGTGGCCAGAGATCAACTTGGATTAAGTAGAAGTTCAGTGTGTTCTCGATCGGTTTACGACTAAGCGTGAACCTCCGTCGAAGCCCCTTCATACTCAGTACCTAAAGTTAATGCATGTAATATTAGATGAAAAAATTAGCTGAAAATCCGGAAGTCGTTCGCTAATTAAATATAGACCAGGCTTTAAAGACCTGCCAACAGCAGGCCATTATATATATGTATTTTGATTTGACCCACTTGAGGTTTAGAATGTTCGCCATGCAAGAAAATACACACTTCGTAGAACTAATGACAGCGACTAAAGCGCAATCACGCATGCTCTTAATTGCGTATGCGTAAATTAATTAAGAAAGACCAATCAACAAAAGCTGCAGTGCTGTGGTGTCAACCGAACAAGCGATGGAGTAATAAAACAGCTGGCCACTGGGAGGTTGTTTTTAGCAAAAAAGAAAAAAAATATAATGAATGAATAAAAAATATAGTAAATATTGTAAAGAATTTGTGCCAGCAAAAGTGACTAAAAAAAACAAGCCAAGCCATCGATGTTTTGCACACTGGTAACTATGCACCAATGTTTAGTAAAATTGCAAGTCAACATAAACTTTGCTTGTAAGTTGCGAAACTGCCAAATGTGTCTAGACACCTAGAATAAGCAAAGAATAAATGACAAAAAAAAAGAAGTTTGTACAAACCTGCAATGCATTCTTAATTTGTGCGCCACTAATTTTTTAGCGACATCAGCAGAATATTTCGCATTTCTGCATTTAATGGTCAGCAGCTTCAAAAAGTGTGGCTCATCATCAGCAGCAGCAGCTGACCGCTTGCCTGATTCGCCAGTGACTTTGATTTTGCGTAAGTTGTACAGTTGCGCATCTTCTAGCCAGATTTATCGGCCATAACAAGTATATGTGTATGTGTATGTGTGCGTGTGTGCCACTTCCATGTTACGAAGATGTTTAAAAGTAGGTGGCCCAGTCAACCGAGCATGACTGAGCGGCTGAGCGACCAAACAACTGTTGCAACTTGCAAGCGAGAGTGATGCGCCAACTGCTGTCGCTCCAAATGACCTTCAATTAATGTTGGTGCGTTTCGTTTTTGCTTAGTTAATTTTTATTGCCATTAATTGTGTCTTCATTTGGTTGCTGAAGTTATTGAAACTGGTAGCAGAGGCATTGCAAATTAGCCATATTTAGCAATAGCTGCATTGCGAAATACACATTTTAATATATTGTTAAATGCAGTTGACAAATGGACAATTCGAATGAGCGTACGTTCGTTTCTGGCGTATTTTTGGGCAATCATCGAAAGCGGATTTCGTTGATAATTACAATAATATTTGTAATTTATTGGCATGCTTTTATGATTGCAACATGTTCTTTAGGGTCATTAGGTATTGGACAAGTGGAACAGATGGCGGAATGCTTAACAGAACGCAACGGTGAAGCAAATTGTTATGTTACACCGAATTGAAATTTGCGCGATATGATGCTTTTTTGTGCAGATTGAGAATTTTAGTTGATTTAGATGAAAAGGAGTTTATTATAGACAGCAGATACATATGTTTAACCTAATTCTTTTGTTTGCAAAAAAATATCAATAAAAATTTCCAAATATATATATTTTTTTATTTATAATTTTTTGTCTTTCAAAAAAATGCTGAAGTAAAAATCCACAAAATTTTTGTTTGAGGATTAATAAAAAAATTCAATAAATTTTTTTTAGATAAAAAGCTTGATAATTTTTTTAATTTGTCTCAAAATGTTATCTCTTGTCGAACAAATTTAATACAAAATTTTTTTTAATAAATTGGTTTTTTTTCAAAGTGCTTCTATCAAAATTTTTTACGTTGAAACCCCATAAAAATAAACGAAAAATTAGTTGAAAGCATTTTTTTCATTTCATACTAACGTTTTATTAAAACTTGTCAAATTCTAAATAAAAAACGGAGAGTCTTTAAAATGCAAAATTTTTTAATCGAAATAAAGAAAATATTTAAATAAATTTTTCTCCAAAAATTTTATGTAATAATTTCTTCACTATTTTAAAATTTGTAAGCGTAAATTTTTCAGTTACATCGAAAAATGTGAGCCCCTTTTTATTTTAAAATTTTATTACTGAAATTTTTAAGTACTAAATTTTTTTCGTTGAAATTTTATATGCTCTGTTAAAGTAGTTTCTCTGATTTTTTATTCTAAAATTTAATTTGCAAATTTTAAATATGTGCTCATTTTGCTACTACAATAACAAGATTTGTTCTTTGAAACTTTTAAGTTTACCCAATTTTTCTCCACAAATTTTGTATCAAAATTTTATCGCGATTTAAAATATGTAAGTGCCAATACTGCAGGAACAACAACGACAAAATTTTCTCTTTTAAACACGAAAAAATTGGCTCTTTCAAACTTATCATTTTCCCAAAATATTTTCTAAAATTTTTCTACCAAAATTGTACCGCACTTGAAAATGTTTCATGTGCCAGTTCTGCAGCTACATCGACCACATTTGCGCTTTTAAATTTATTTTGCCAATTTTTTTTCACTAAAATTTCCTATCAAAATTTGTCTACTGTTTCGAAATTTTTAAATTACAATTTTGCAACTATGTACATCGATAAAATTTGCACTTTTAAATGTATTTTTAATTTTTTTTTTAAATTTCATCAACTATATATTTAAAAAAAAAATTTTATCACTATATACTTTTTAAATTTTTTTATGTAAATTTTGCAAGTACAATAACAAATTTTGCTCCTTCAAATTTATATATTTATATTTATATTTTCCAAAAATTTCCTATCAAAATTTTATCGCAATTTAAAAAGTTTTACGTGTGCCAATATGGCAAAAGGAACAACGAGAACATTTGCTCTTTTGAATTTATTTTTGCCACTTATCTATACGCCTTTTTGTCAACTTAGTTGTCAACTGCCAAATATTACGCCATCAAATACAACTAATAACACTGTTATCTCATGCTACAAATAAAATTAAAAATTAACAAAAAGAAAAAAAACGAAAGTGTGAAAAATGTGGCAGAAAAATGCATTTTTGCAAATCTCGTTATGCCACATGTGGCAGCTGTTGTACGATTACCACCAACAAGCTGCTTACCTTCCAAACGATTTTCGTGCTACCGTTTGAGTTGCAATTCATTTTATTTTGGATTTGCAATCATTTTTCTTTTTTCTCTTTCACACATTTTATATGTATGTATTTTTTACGCGCATTAATTTTGATTTATTAACATTTGATAAAGTGATTGTTTGTACGCATTTATGCGTTGGACGTTGAACAAATGGTTTGACGCGTGCGATTGCAACACAAACAAGCAAAAGCTAATGTCGATAACTCGTTCATTTAAATGTCTAACTAAATGTGTTTATGTGTTTCTCTTTTTTTTGCGTTACTACTCTACATAAATACTTATTCTATTGCTTAGCCAACTAAATTTTTGTTCACTAATGTTTTATGGTTTTTTGAAAAGCGTTTTCTAATTAATTGCAATAGTACATAGAAAAATGGCTAACGCCCATTAAATGTCTAGCGCTTAAAATGTTCTCGCATGCGTAACGCGTCAAGTCACTTTGCCAATGGAAAATCGTTGTTCTTACCAAAATTTATGACGCTTGTAAGCATTTAATGGCTGCTGAGCAGCTGCGTATAGCAAATTAATTTAATTTATTTATTCCATGCGAACAATTAATGTAATTAAAGTTATAACAAGGCGCGCGTTTCAAAGCGAAACTTAGAACTTTGCGGAAATTTAAGCAACATGGACATTTAAATTTGGTTGAAAGTACTTAAAATTAAACAATAATTACTTGCAATTAGTGGTGTAATTCCTAAAAGACAACTTAAATGTTAATTGAGAGTGAATTGGGGCTGAGGTTGGCCATTAAGGCCCAAAAACCTTTTTTTGTCGCCACTGATGTCGCTCTTTGCCTTCAGTGATGCTTACTCTGGCTTTTCTGCGAAGTGTTTCAAAAGTTCAGCATGAAAGTCGACATGAAAGTGGCCTGGGCTACACTACCGTTTCCTCTGATGTAAGCCTTGACGTAATCAGGCTACGGTGGCACCGACCACTTCTTAATATATCTGCTGTATGGTTATAGAACTGGTGAAGTTTTTATTTTCGCTTCCAGGAAAACCAAACTTCAATAGGAAAATCATGTTCAAGAGAGAAAAAATTTGGAATCTGGGTTGTCAACAAAACTATCGAGTTCAATAGTTATTTCCATAATCCGGTTGAGAATTGCATATGAACAAAAACAGCGAATGAAGTATGTAATTATTAAGCTAGTATGGCCATAAGCATCCCACGATGCATACTTTTTGGCGCTCTATTTACTAATACATATAGCATTTGGGTACACTTAACGCGAACTCGTAACTCATTTGAATAAAGTCGATTTGCTTAAGCCATTGTAAGCTAAAGAGAGGTTCTCCTCAAATAACAGTTTTAAAGGTTAAGACATTTGAAAAAAGAAAAGTTTTTATAGCATTTGAATAAGTAGGCCTAGTTGGGACGTAGAGTATATAATTGCAGGCAATTATTTCGATTGGGAGATATAACACATCAACTCGAACATCTAAAAAATTTCTAAAAATACAATCTCAGGTTATACCCATCTTACTTACCCTCGAAATAATGATGCCAGCTATGCTAATGCGTATTCTTGGGCCTTTTAGTAAACGATAACGCAAATCCACGCCATTCCAGAATGAAACAAAGTAGCGTTTCACCTAAGATGATAGAAAACGAAAAAAAAATAAATAAATTAAACGAGTTGATAGGAAGCTGCACCGAAAGAGCACAAGTCTAAAAAAAATAACATCTTACAATTATGCCACAAAAGTGAACAAAAATCATTTATTTTTTTTTTATCAGCATCCTTTGAATGGGAATCTGCCAATACATATGTATGAAAAAATAGTAGACATGGAACCATCGTGCACGTTCTTTCCGCACAAAAGCTATTTAATAGCAGCGCCGTCGAGCGTGCCTAGCTGTACTACCATAGTTGGCTGCTGCTGTGCCGACAAGTGCCGACAGTTGCTAGCCAGATTTGATTTATGAAAACGCGATAATAAAAGTTTTGCAAAAATTTATTCTGTAGGAGTTGGTTCAGTAAAATTTATTGTAAAAAATCATAGTCTGAGTAAGTTGAAAAAATGTCAGAGTAGTAATGTAGCGAATAAATTGTGATGCATGTGCCAAAGAAGCTGATTAATTTCTTATGGCTGATTTATTTCTAGGAAATTGATGTTATCACTGGCAATGGCGGAGAAGCAAACTGCACGTTTAAGGAGTGGGAAAGAGACGTGGAAAAATGCAGATGGATTAAGAATGTGTCTGACAAAAAAAATTAAAATTTTAAATCAATTATGCGGAAAATACGAGCCTGCATCTTCGTCGCCTAGCTGAAAATAATCTTTTTTTGCTAAATATGAATATGGATATGAATATTATTTAGTATAAATATGGATACGTATATGTATGTGTATGGATAAGGGTATAAATACAAGTGAGAATATGAAATTGAGTATGGATATAAGTATGAGTATGAATATGAGTATGAGTATGAATGTAAATATTAATATGACTATGATTATGAGTTTGAATATGAATATGAAAGTGAATATGAATTTAATTATGAATATAAGCATAGAGTTGAGCATAAAAATAAGTACTTATGAGTTTAGTGAGAACATGAGTATGAATATGTATATCTATATCAATATGAATATGATTGTGAATATGACTATGAGTACGAGTATGAGTATGGATCATAGACCGTAACAACGATTATTTTTTATCGAAAAAAAATTAAGATCACAAAATAACGATTAAATTTGACCGCACAAATAAACGATTAACGATTATAGATACCATGGACAGTAAATTTTACAAATATAGCGTTTTTGGTTTTTCTATAATAAAAAATTCAGTGCAATGTAGAAAAACAATATAAGTATCAAATTAAAGAGAAAATAATGTAAAATTAATGACGATTAAATTTTTTGTACATAAGGACTAAGGTATTAGGAGTGTTCTTTAATAATTTTACCCTGAATATCCTTGAAATTTTGCAATATTTATTTTTGAAATTTAATTAAAAGCGCATTTTCAATACCTATTCGTTTTTTTGTACAAAAAGTTTTAATTTTCTTAATTCTACAGAATTTTCTCTTTCATTTGGTACCCTTGTTTTTATTCTATTCTGCAATGAAGTTCCTAAAAATTTCTTGGAACTAATTATGTTCTTGAATCTAAAATATTAAAAAAAATAAAAATCCTGATATCACTAACTAACCATTTTTACATAATCGTAATCGAAGATCAAACAAATTCAAGCTTGTCGTACCCTTTTCGAGCGCTTTAATTTTTCTTAAATAAAACTAACTACTCAAAACATTTCCTAAACCCAAAGTTACCTGCAAATTATCACCGCCATGCAACCGATAGCCATCATAATCGATGATAACCAACACTTCAGGATAGATTATGTACGGCACTTGACGTTTATTGCGCGTATTCGTAGCCTCCGCTGACAAAGTTTCCAATTCATCATCTAATTCCTCTAGCGCTGCTTCATCATCGTCAAATGGCGCCGAACGACGCTGACGTCGCTGTTGCAATCGTTCAAGTTTTTCGCTAGTAGCCATGTCATCGGGCTCCATAAAAGCTGCAATCATGCGTAGAGCATTTATTAAAATGATATTAAAAATGCAAGCAAGGTGTGTGAAATAAAGGTTAATTGTATTGGCATCGGGGCAACGAGTGAGATAATTAAAATGTGCAAAAAAAGAGAAGGAAAAGTACAGCGGAAATATTGAGTCACTTGCTAAGTATTTCAAAATTTTTATTTTTTTTAATTAAGTTCAGAAAATTTCCGCATTTTCGGTAGTCGATCTTTTAATGAACTATAAAAAGTTAAAGCGCCACGTAAATAACTCTACAATATTGCAGCGTATTTTTTCACGCTAGGCACCAGCTTAATGTCGTTGAATGCCATAAAAATATCGTTTAATGCAAAAATTTTCGACAATGCACTTTTTGTGTAAAGCAACTTGAACTTATTGGTAATTATGGAGCTCGTAAAAGTTTTAACAGTTCATTAGCTCATGCGTAGATGAGCAAATTAAGCTATAATTTTTTGATTTTGACTTGTTTGTGCTGATAGGTTACAAAAAATTCTGTTCAACTTTAATTCAAAATTTTTCCAACTGTTGCCGCTTGCTAAAAGGCGATCGACTTGTATCAGCATGCCAGACGAAGGTTGTCTACTGCCTGCTGTTTTATAATCTATGAAATCAGTGACTTTTTGGTTTTAGTGCATAGCTTCTATAAATTTACAAGCTACAAAAAAGATCAAAATATGAAATCTGAAATGCATAGAATATTGCAGTGTCTTGATTGAAGAATTCACAAAAAAAACAATTCCATTGCCTTTTTGTTCTTTGTCTCAAATAATTTTTGATGCAGAATTACCATTCCATTTCGTTTATTCTACTCACCAAAATCGCTTAGGTGCTCCAGTGGTTGTGCATCACGTTTGTAGACAATGTGGTGTGCTGCGTCTGGATTTGGACTCAGCTCATGTGGCAGCGGTTTTATCACCATTTCATGTCCAATGCTACCCTCCTGTAGGAAGAAGAAAAATAGAGAGAAAATTTAATGTTTATTTGTTGCTCGAAACGTATTATTATACAGACAGACGGTGCGTATACGCGATATTTTTTTGTTTTGCTAATAGCATACAGTAAATGCTACTTTTCTGGTACTTCTAATATATGCTATATAAGAGTAGATACAAAAAAGTCGTGTAAGAGCGCTGTGAGCAATAAACTTATTTAAAAACCATATTTTTAATAAATTCATTTCAATTTCAAGTTATTATTTTTTTCTCATTACATAAACAATATAATTGTCATTCAATGTTTATTGCCATAAATAAATTCCTTTAGCTGTGCAGTCAGTCATCCAACTGCCGCTACGCTGCACTCATGCAGCGCAAGGCAAATGAACTCTAAATGATGCCACCTTCCGCATACGTAAGCGTGCATGCTTACCAAAAAAATTAAAGTTTTGTAATTTGTTTTGCCAATTGTACATTTTTATGACAATATACTCTTACAATAAGCAAATAATTAACTGGTTGCTTATAATGGGCACATGATTCAGCAGCAGCAACCTAAACTTCTTTGTATTTCATATTTTTAAGTACTCCGCTATTTTTTATTTATTAGCACTCATGGTTGTAGCTATACTTTTGATATTTATTGATATTTTAATGTCTTGCTTGGCGTCGGAATTTTAAGTTTTATTTTTAATTTTTATTCATCAACACTCTTTCTGTCGAACATTTTTCGCCAGCTTTTTTGTGCGTTGTTAAATTTTTTACTACAGATTTTTTTGTTCTTTATTTTGTTTTTTTTTTTTTTGCCTGTGCATTCTTCAACTTGAACTTCAATTTTATAAATTTCTGTTTCAGGTTGAGTTGTTCAAGTATGCAGTAAAGCGTCAACTTTTATTTATTTATTTTTAAGTTGTAGATGACACAGACGAAGTTTACTTATTTTTAAAGAAAAGTGAAAATAAGATTGAAAAACTGTATCTAAAAACAGTATAAGAAAGTTTAAAAAAATATTTTATTACTAAAAAATTAACAACTAACTAAGAAGGTAAAAAGCTGAAAGTTGAAATTGGCGTTTAAAACCAATTTCGTATTTTTAAATTTTCTAAAAACTAGCATAATTTTGATAAACATCGATTTAAATAATAAAAAAAAAATTTACTGGTCCTTTTTAGTGACATTTTACGCAATTTTTTGTTTTTAATATATTTTTTTGTAATTAAACGCATTAAAAAAAAATTTACAAAAAATTAATAGTTGCTCGAATTTAGAAGAGATGCACAATTGCGAATTTAAAAAAGTTAGTAAAATTAAAAATGGTATAATTCTAAATAGTAAAATATGCAGTTTCGGAAAATTTACAATTTCTCAATAATTTAAGATAAAAAAATAATATTTTGAAGCACGCATTTCTAAAAAGTTACTCGCAAGCAAAAGCTGTATTTTTTTTTTGGATTTAATATGTATGAATCTATTTTAAAAAATTTCAACTTTTAAAATATCTGCAGGCTTAGCAGTTTGAAGATCTTGAAAAATTTGGAACCGTGAAAATTAAAAATTTAAAAGGTTTACTATTTAAAAAATGTATGATTTTTAAAAAATAAAAATTGATAACCTCAGTAGACAGTGCAAAATGATCGAGTTTTATAGACAAAATATTTAATTGTTCTATATTAAAACTTAAATTTAAAGTTTTAACAAACCTACAATTCTGAGATTTTAAACGTCCAAATATTTACAAAAACATTTTTTTAAAAGACTAAGACTTTCGCATGTTTTTTTTCATAAAAGCAAAAACATACTATAGTTAAGTAAACAATAAAAAGAAATTGCTTGAGTTTTATGGAAAGCATGGCCTTATAAACCATTGGGGACAAATTTTAAAATTAAAAAAAATATTATTTTAATGCATTTAAAATTTATAAATTTTTGAAGGAATGTTTTTAAAATACTAAAAATATAAAATTTGAAAAAAAATTAAATTTTGGAAAAATTTCAATTTTAATAAAAAATTTAAAATCTCAGTTAGTCATTAAAAACTAATATCTAAGTAGATATGTGTTTTATAAACACTTTGAAGTAACCATATTCCTTCACTGCATATTTTTTGTTGAAGAATTTTTTCTGAGTTATCTAACGTTATTTTCTTTTATTTCAGGTAAGTGTGCATCATCTAACCACACACATTCATATGCACTTAAATCCATACATAAAACATACAAAAACTAACAATATGCTTTCAATATGAGTGCAAAACGAAAGGCAAAAAATTTAAAACTAAAAATGAAGTAATGAAAAAAGCAATTGGAAAACTGCACAAATTATCAGGTGTCAGAGCGCATTTGCGAAACGATACATTGCAGTGACATGAACACACGCCTGCGACAACGCCTATTGCGAATTTTATTGTTTATGCAACAAAAGTGTTTACACAAAAGACTTAGAAGCTGATTCAGGTAAAATATCTAAGCAAATATAAAAGACTTAAGACACGAACTTGGTAGTTGGCTGATTAAAAAAAAACAAATATTTGCTTGGTAATAGTATTTTTTTATAAAGATATAACAACACTAAGCAGGAAAGGACAGTGAATAAAAACAAAAAAAACGAGCAACCTAGTAGAAAAAAACATATTGGAAAAGCTAAAGTAAAATACATAAATAGTTAAGTGTTATTTGCCATTTTAGTACTTCCATTGTATTGTCCTTTTTCATTAGCCAAATGCTTGCAACGCTTACATAATGAGGTCCACGCTGTTGCAATGAAAGGTATTTGCCTGTTAATTCTATTCCATTTGGTTGGCTTTGCCGCCAACTATAAACATTTCTGTGAACACTCGAGCTGAACCTTAAGCAATAAATTCGACCAAGGCTTTCAGAATGGGCATTAAATACATACATAAATATGTATATATGTATATAAGAAGGTGCTGTGGGGCCAAGAATTGGTGGCTGATTAGACCGACACGCCCTGAGTAAACAAGCGGTGCAGGCAATATTAAAAAAAAAATTCCGGGAACTATTTAACGAAGAAATGACTTAAAATTTTACTAAAAAAAAATAAATAAGTTGAAAAAATTGTTGAAATCGAAAAAAATATTCAGCAAATGTAATGTAAATCTAGTGTCACAAAGTAATTTATTGCCTTTGGTGTCACACAATATTTCGTGGAACGCTAGTTGGCGGTGGCGGTGGTGGCCTATTTGTCCAAGCAATCGCTGAACAGGCAGGCAAATACATTTCAAAAAATAGGCAAAAAAATAAAACTTGCAACATGCAGACAGATTAGTAGACAAGCGAGCAGGCTGGACTAGTTGACATGAACATTTCGCCGATACTGTTGCTGGGTAAATGAAAAAATTAGATCAATGAATGGCCAAATAGTTGCTAAAAGCTTGGAAAGAGAGAGAAAACAGAATAAAAAACGCTAATATTTTATATACATATATACAATTTTTAAGCTCGAATGAGTGGTCAAGAAACGTTATGCTATATGCATTCAATTTCGCAAATATTTTTTGTAAAAAAAAAAATTATAAAAAAATTATTTTTTTTTTGAAATTACAAATTGTTCAATGACATTTTTTTTGTGAAAAAGCTCACCAAAAATGTTTCTAAATTTTTTCGTGTTCATTTGCCTCGAAGCTATCAGTATGAACAAATTAGTTTAGTGGCGGCTTTAGGCCTTTAATTAAAAAATTGGCAGCTTTTAAAAATACCAACGCAAATAGCAAAAACTGAAAAGTAAAAAGCAGGCAGTGGCATAGAATGAAGTCAGCGAATAATGTATGTTTTTTTACATTTACTCAAATCAAACTAATGTGAATTCCTGCCAGCGAATGGCAGGCTAGCTAGATTTGCATTTTGAGGTTTTTTATTTTACATTATTTTGTGTATTATTAATTTTTTTCTAAAAATTCTTGCATTAATGCTTTTGAGATATAGAGTTCAAATTAAAAAATAGATATCGAAAGAGTAGGGCGGGAAATTTGTGGGGCAATACAAATTTTTCTCGAATTATTAATATTTTTCATAGTAAACACAGTCATTCAAAATTTAATATCTTTAATCGTTCACCCATTCCTCTGAATCAATACGCAATCAAATATATCAGCTGCTACAAATATTGCAAAAAACCAATTTACAAATCTTTCCGCTTAGCACTGAACTTCAAAATTAAAGTGAAATAATCTTGGCTTATTCAAAATCGTAAATCAACCGTAATCAGCGAAAAAAATAAGCACCAAGCAATTAATAAAAGAACGCATAAATAAATTAATTACTTAGCTCAGTTCACGCGATTTAAATTTATCTTCAGAAAATTAGACAACTGTTATTGTTATTTGCTGCTTTATTATTATATTTTTTTTTGCATAATTGCATGCGAAGTGTTACAGTTGCATATATTTATTGAAATTGAGCTGCTGAATGTCGAGTTGAACGCCATTTTAATGCCACAAAAGCCTTTTGATTAATGAACTAAGGTCAATAAGAGGAAGAAAATGAGTTCAATGAGTTCATTATCATTTGAAAAAATTTAAGTGATAAAGCAAGCAAAACCAAGTTTATTAGTGGTATAAAATGCTTAGTGCTTGGCTTATAGAGCATTTATCGCAGTGAAGTTCGTTGCTTAAGTCGTTTGATTTGATTACACTAGGATTTTTTTTTTTAAAGATTAGCAGTCTTGACTAAACCCCCTAGCTGGTAAATATTTCAAAAATAACTGTAAGAATGTATGCTTATATGTCCCAAAACTGAGTTTTTTTTGAATAAAAATTTTAAATTAGCATCAATCTAACAAAAAAAAAGCTGTCCCGTAATACATATACCACTCTCACAAGAAATATGTTGTCCTAAACTATGCAAATATGACCCCGAATGGAGATAAAAAGGTCTTTAAATCTAATTTTTTACCAGCTGCTGTCTCAACAAAATTCTGTATGTCCCAAAAATTTGTATGTAATTGTGCATTTGTTCCAAACCACATTTTTGAGCAGTATTTAAAAAAT